GGTCGATGTTTTTCAGCACCTCGTTGACCTTGAGGGCCTCGCCGAGGGCGGCGGCGCCCTCGTCGCCGATGTTGTTGCCGTAGAGATCCAGGTCGGTCAGCACCCCTGCTGAAAGGTAAAAAAGAAACACGCGTGCACGACTCATAGAGCCGTAGAAGACACAACCCAGTCAATCATGCACGCCCCCTGCGCCGTCCATCCACTCTCAGAATTCACACCTCACATCTTGAGCTCGAACCCTACCCGCCCGCTCGCCGCATCTCGAATAACTCCCTTCCCCCCGTCGCCCAAACTGTTGAAACGGAGGTCGATGTGTTTCAGCACCTCGTTGACGGCGAGCGCGTCGGCGATCGCAGCGGCCCCCTCGTCGCGGATAACGTTCAGTCGGAGGTTGAGGGATTTCAGCACCCCGTTGACGCGCAGCGCCTCGGCGATCGCGACGCCACCCTCGTCGCCAATCTTGTTCCGGCCGAGGTTGAGGGTGGTCAATACCCCACTGCCCGACACGTACTCGGCGATCCCTGCGGCGCCAGTCGGGCCAATGCTGCAGTCACCCAAGCCCAGCGAGGTGAGCTTATTGCGCTGCCGCTCGACACGGACGATGCCGAGGGCCGACTCCTCGGTGAGGCTGTTGAAGCCCACCTCCAAGGAGGTCAGCACCCCGTTGCCGCGCAGCGCCTCGGCGATCGCAGCGGCGCCCTCGTCGCGGATGTTGTTGCCGTAGAGATCCAGGTCGGTCAGCACCCCGTTGCCGCGCAGCGCCTCGGCGATCGCGGCAGCACCCTCGGAGCCGATTTTGTTGTAGCGGAGGTTGAGGGTTTTCAGCACCCCGTTGCCGCGTAGCGCCTCTGCGATCGCGGCTGCGCCCTCCGCGCCGATGTTGTTTTGCGGGAGCACGAGGTTGGTCAGCACCCCGCTGCCCGACACGTACTCGGCGATCTCTGCAGCGCCAGTTGGGCCGATGCTGCAGCGACCCAAGCCCAGCGAGGTGAGTTTGTTGCGCTGCCGCTCGACGCGCACGATGCCGAGGGCCGCCTCCTCGGTCAAGCTGTTGTAGCT